TGGTTTTTTCTTTTCTGTTTTTCTGTAAAAGCTGTCCTTCGATTGTAGTGGAATTTACTTCCTTGATCTGATTTATGAGGAAAGTTTGTTATGATTGAGTATAAATACAAGTTTTACAGCTTGGATATGTGATTTTTGGATTCAACAGTTTTTGAGCTGGACTTTATTTTCTTTGTTTTTTTTCTGCTAAAGTTCTTTCAATTTCTTCTTTTTCTTCAAGTAATTTTCTTGAGAAACTTTTATGTTCAGTTGTTTTCTTCAATTGGTATCAGAGCATTGAGTGATCTTGAGGGGCCTAGGTTGTGATAAAATGACTTCTGGATTCAATTCATCACTCCACCAAAATTCACCGAAGAGAACTACTCGTTCTGGAGTGTGAAGATGGAGACGTATCTCAGAGCCTTCACGTTGTGGAAAGCAGTGGAAACAGATGAGGAGCCAGTGCAAAGGAGAGCTAACTCGACGATAGCTCAGATCAGGCAATTTGAGGAAGACAAAGCAAAAAGGTACAAAGCTCAGTCCTGCCTTCACTCAGCTTTATCTGATGAGATTTTTGCTCGAGTTATGCATTTGAGATCTCCTAAGCAAATTTGGGACTATCTGAGGGATGAATTTTTTGGAAGTGAACGAACGAGGCAAATTCAAGCTTTCAACTTAACTCAAAAGTTTGAAATGCTTAGAATGGAGGATAGTGAGAACATTAGAGATTTTACTGGTAAAATGATGGAACTAGAAAATCAATTAAGGTTACTAGGAAGGGAAATTACTGAAGAACTTTTAGTGAGCAAGATGCTGGTGAGCTTGCCTGAGAAGTATGAATCAAAGGTATCTTTGTTAGAAGACTCTAGAGATTTGGCTCAGATTACACTAAAAGAATTAGTTAATGCCTTGGAAGGACTTGAGCAGAGAAGAGCTTTTAGGCAAAAGAGAGCAGCTAATTTTGCCTTGATTGCTAAGACTAAAACTCAAAAGGAGGATGATTAAAAGTCAAAAAGTGATCCTGCTGATAAGAAAAACAAAGGAAAGAAGTCTAGAGAGCAAAGACAAGGAGAAAGGAAGAAAGAATTTTCACCATGTCAGTACTGCAAGAAGACTAATCATACTGAAAAATTTTGTTAGTATAGACCAAACATGGTATGTAGAGCTTGCAGTCAAAAAGGGCATGTTGAAAAGGTATGTAAGACTCGTGACAAAGGAAAAGAAAAAGTTGATATAGCTGAGCAGATAGAAGATGAAACTGAGGAGGTGTTGTTCA